TTTGTATCGGGAACAAATGGATCAAATTTGGCATTTTTGCTCCATCTAGGCCTTTCTTCTACCTGCCACCCACCCCATCACGTGTAGCAAACTGCTTTTTAGAAATCAAGCAAGAATGTCAAATAAGCACAAATTAGTTTTATTTTTTGCTTGTTTCTCTAACAAACGGGCCTTGCATATGGCCTATTTGACTGTGTGCTACAGAGATTTTAACTACATTTATTTCAATATATTTGCCTCTGGCATCGTTAAATTCCATTGAATGTTTATAATTCAGATTTATTCAACAACAGAAACACAACCATTTTAGACCAGGCGTCTCCAGGGAAAATAAATTAAGCTATCAAAGTTGTGTGCTTTGTATTGCTGCCTAAACAAGTTCATTGTTTCAAAAATAGCCTACATTGAGCTTATTAGCTTAAAAATAAAAACATGAAAACCACCGAAAAACGTTTTGGCACTGTGTTTTAACGAAACCGCTGTAAAAAGATTACAACACCATTGAAAAAACAACAACAACAAAGAGACGGTACAAGTCTCCAAAAATTTACTAGTATAAAACTATTGTCTACTTGGAAATTGCTATTGGAAATTAGAACATATTTGTTTATTTATACCCTCAACTGAAAGGTGTACCTCTCTCTACCTTGTAACTATCTGTACTGATTCCTCTGTTTGACAGACATGTATTCAACCTTATTTTGAGCAATTATAGCGTTTCTATATTCTTGCATTTACTTTTTAATTGATTTATTCTGAATTACTTATTATATTCTACTGAAAACTACGTAGCAAACAGTATCTATCTATAACGAGTAAATAGGAATTAGGTTCGTGCTTGAAAATAGGAAGAACTTTGGTAGCTGTGAAATGACGCGCCTACGTTTATTCCTGACTCACAAATTAAGAATATAATCGAGCTATTGGGTCAAGAATCCTAAAGGCTCATGTTTTACATAGTCTGTGATTCAAAGGCGCCTGCAATGAATTGATTGGCTAATTGTAATTTCCTCTAAGTTAATATTTTATTCCATAAACATAGTGTTACTTTATTTTGATTTTTTGATTCTTTGATTTTTTGATTTTCGGAGATACTAGCCTATTTTTAGCTACTCAAACTCTGACATAAAATAAAGTTTTATGTATATGTAGGTATGTGAAGGCAAGCCTAGGACACGTTCAAAACTTTGTCTTCGATCTTACTGGTCAACAAGTTTAACTCTGCTAAAAAAGGTAAATACGAAATGCAGCGGCTAACAAACAGTGGTATTTTATGTTGTCGGCCACTGTCAACATCAAAGTACCGGCCTATTTGACTGCATTGACGCAACTTCTGTTAGAGGCAGATTTTCCTAGCCTTCTTGAACGGTATAAAATAACTCAAACTAAGCTAATATCGTCTCTTTGTGAAAAAACAAACAAACAAGCAAGCTGTAGGTTCACCAAATAACAATCAAATATTGTAATGCTCACTATAGTCATGCTTTTGCACTTACGCCTAAATGTTTGAATACCTAGAGCGAAGATTTCTACGGACTTAAGAAGTAAAAAAAAAAAATGCACTTACTGGAACGATAAACTCCACGCTAGAGAACATGTACGCGTTTGAAATATTTTCCCATCAGAACATGGATCACTTTACATGTATTACTTGACTTTTTAAAACTGAATTGTTCGATTAAGTTAACATCCACTGATTAACACATGCGTAGGAACATCGGCAGGAACTCCTGAAATGTATCCTTGAATATTCTCAGGTAGTCCAAACACTTGCCACACCCTGTCGATCAATTCAGTTAACACCATACATTAGTTTGTATTTTTACCTTTACACGTTATTATATGATCCATTGCCTAATACGAATTTTCACGACTACCCATTCCAATGGTCCAAATTTAACCTCGTGACCATGTAGCGATCCATATACTATTGTGACATTGTTTGTCAGAGTGGGAAATTCAGCTCCTTTCTATTTAACAACTGAGTTGCGAGGAAAAATGAAGGTAAAATGGAGGAGATATCAGAAAACCTGAATGTGCAATGAAAACGCAAATTTCTAAAACTGGGTTATCTAGCTCGCTTTCGGCATCTTTTTCTTTTCTTTTCTTTTCTTTTTTTTTTATCTCGCTTTGGGGATAATAACCGATCACAATTTAGTTTTGGCCATGTCACGTGACGTTTAACGTGTAACGCCTGATATTGAAAGAAATAGTCTACCGGGTTAATGAAAGGTTTTCTTTCTTTTAGGAAAATGTCACTTATCTAGTCATTAATTCAATTTAGCATCTACCTTAGGGTATCCTGTCTTTGACTCGCATTAAAATATTCTTTGAAAGCTGTAAGGCCTCCTGAGCCATCTCTGCCGAGTAAACTTCGTTTGGGATCTTGGGAAAGGACACCTGATCTGGATAACGCATGCGCGCCGAACGAACAACAAGTCTCTGCAGATCCCTTGCTAAGTCGGTTAACTGGGAGTCATGTAAACTATCGCAATTCTCAACCAAGTCGTGGACACTAGTCTTGTCAACATCTATTGTGTACTGAGCCGCCTTTAGTGCCTTCTCGGCTGCCTATAGGAGAACAGACCCATGCAAAGTATTTAACAGAGGCACTGGTTACCAATTCTTTTCACGATGTTAGCTACACTTGAACATACAATAAACAATGCTTTGTATAAGCGCTTGAAGAGAGAACACTTTCGCACATTCACTCTTTTTTTTTCTAACACAATAACTGCCTGGCTAATACTTCAACTAAGAATTGGTTCGCTTTTTCGCGGTCTTTTATTCTCGATCCAACTCGTTGCCTTTCAGTAATATATTTCTTTTGTACATAAAAGTAACAACGATTGATCAAATGACAGGCAAAGTACATATAAATTCTTAAAAAAGAAAACCTTAAGAGTGAGAAATTCCGAAGTTGAGTTTTATTGCCTTATGAATATCACTGCAGGGGCCCGTTTCTCGAAAGTCCCGGAAACTTATCGGGCCCGTAAAGCCATTTTCTGTTCATCTGTATCTAAAAACGGAGAAGTGTATACGCCAGAAAGTTCTTGTATGAAGGCAACGTCTCTTCATATTAAGAATATGTGAATAAAACAGCTCTGTAATTGTAAGTTTCGAGATTTTGCTATGGCTTTACGGGCCCGAAAAGTTTCCGGGGCTCTAGAGAAACCGGCCCCTGGTCAGTTGAGTAAGTGTACCGGCAAATTAAGCAAACGAAGCCCTTTTTACCTGATGGCATTTAAAGCATGCCCACTC